ATGAGGGGCATAAGACCTGGGGCAGGGGAGGCACAGGTGTGTGGGGTGGGGGAGACACAGGCGTGGAGTCTCAGTGGAAGTCGCCTGGATCCATTGACTTTCAGGGGGAACCCATGGAACTGAACCTTCCCAATGAACCCCTAGTGGGGATAGAGCATTACTCTGCCTTTAGCCTGCTGGTTTGATCCCCCTCCCTCTCCGGTTAGGGCTGCAGGAACTCCTGGGGGTACGTGCCTTCCTCTCTCTGTGCCATCAAAGGAGGAGGACCATGGAGAATTAAATACCTCTGAAATGAAAATGAGTCAGCTGCCATGTTGCCAGGTTACATCACGAACAACAAAACAAGGACCCTGGTGGGGCAGCACAGCCCGTTGAAACTCTGGAGCCCACAAGAATGCTGTTTCCTGACCCCCCCCCCCCCCCCCCCCCCCCCCCCACGGAGAGCCTCTGAGTGCTGTGGCCTGGGACACGTGACAGGTTGCTGGTGTGGACGGCGTTCAAATACAAAATGGGTTAGAGAAAGACTCCCCTTTTGTGTGTTTCTACCCCTAAGCCTGGCCAGTATTGCTGTCTCTCCCCATCACTCAGTTCTTGGTTCTGACCCTGACTCTCGTGTCTTCTGACAGTGCCTTGAATTTAGTGTTTTCCTGGTAACTGGACAGTAGCCTCCCCCATGGTCTCCAGCTTTCCCACTTTCTCTGCCCTGCATGTCTCCCATGGGCTCCAGAGGGAACCAGGCCTGGTTTTGCATCCTAACCTCTATCCTGACTACTTGGCCTGCCTGTGGCTGCTCTCCAGTGGGGGTAGGACCGCAGATGGTCAAGAAAGAAACCCTGGGTGATGTGATGCTGACACATAAGGTAGGCAGAAAACCATCAGCTCTTAAAAGAGGGCGAAGGAGCAGCGGTGGGAGGGGCACCCAGGGAGGACTCCCAGTCTACACTTCCTGGCTGCTGTGCAATAACTCTCGTGGGTGGTTTCTAGGAGTCCGCAATTCTGTACACGGGTTGGTCTAGAAAGTCGAAAAAACAGTCTTTTCCATCAAAATTGACTAGCTCTGTTGAAACCTTGGGTTGGGCAGATTAATTAGTCTCCGTTCACCTGTTCCAATGCCTAGCACGATGCCCAGCATATGGCAGACCCTTGATAAGTATTTGCCACAAAAAACGAACAAAAGCAACTAGATGCCACAGTCTCCTGTAACCGTTATCGCGGGCCAGTGATGGCAGCCTTCCAGCCTTGAGGGTCGTGCAGTGGGCCTCTGCTGAACTGCAGCTGGAGGCGTTCCCAGTTGGTTGCTCTTTTAAGAACCTGCAAGAGTCTCTGAGGAAGGAAATCCTCACGGTTGTAAGGTTCTTCTTCAGACCGTAGCTATACCTGTTTGTTCCAACCACCATTTGCCGACACCAGCTGGGTGTCCTGCCATTCAGTTCACTTCTGACGGCAACCCCCTGGACTTAGCACAGATCCCGCAAACGAAGGACTCAGTCCCACAGGACTGCCCCCACCCGTCCATTTCCCATACGAGATGCAAGCCTTGGTTAAGAAGTTAACCCCACTTCTGCCCAGCAGACTACCAATTTGAAGGTTCCCATGTCCCCTCCACCTCGGTTTTGATAACTCACTAGAACAGAGTTCTCAGTCTGGAGCATGAGACTTAGGATTACAATGTTCCTATAAAGGATACTACTCAGGACCAGGCAAATGGAAGGGAAGGATAGAGCAGGCTATGGGTTGTCACCATCCCAGCACCTCAGCGTGTTCACCAACTCAAACCTCTCCGAGCCTGTGTTCGCGAGTTTCCCCTGAGGTTTTATTGTTTAGTCCGGATTGAATCCGTCTCCAGTTCTCCCCTCCCCAGGGTTGGAGAGCGGGGCTGAGAGTTTCAACCCTCTAATCGTGGGGTTGGATCGTTTGGCAGCCAGCCCCCATCTGAAGCTCCCTAGGGGCTCCTTCCTATAAGAAACTCAGGTGTGGCATAAGGGGGGGGCCTTTGTGAATAACAGAAGACACGCCTGCCACATAGGAAACTTCCTGGTTTCGGGAGCTCTGTGCCGAGACGCAAGAGGGAGCACATACGTATTTCTTTTTATATCACCGTAGAGGAAATATATTTTGACAGACCCAAGAGTGGTTGGTCCTTCTGGTCTCGGTTCATTGTTAGAAGGACTTTCACTGGCCCTCCAGCCTCAGAGTAAGAGCCTCTTCTTTAGGATGGGCTATGCCCTTCCCTTGCTTCCACCCTTGACTCCAGTGTATTACAGCGTGAGGATCTTTTGAACCTCACATATTCTTTGTCTATAATGATCGAAGGAATGGCCTCAGGAACGTGGGTGCCCATTGGGTGGTTAACGTTGCTCGAGGCCTGATGGGAGCAAAGTGGGCAGAGCCAGAGGGTCTTCGATTAGACCCTGCCTCCACCCCTGGTTCACTGATTCCCTTTGGAAGAATCATTTATTTCATGAGACCGTTTCTAAACATGGAAGAATGTGAGGACACACTTTTCTTATCTCCTCTCCATTTCAAGGTCCGGTGTTGTAGACCGTGAGATAATCAGCCCATGTGGGCTTTTACTCTTATGCTCAGGACGGATATTTTGGATTGTGTGTTAAAGCCATTTGCCTGAATCCTGGCAAAAACTATGCTATTCCTCTTTCCCTCACAAAGGGACTCAGGAAAGGGGGGCTAAGGAAACATTTAACTGTATTTGTAATCTGCTCTCACTTAAGGGGTCTCCAAAGCTTCCTTGCTGGCCAGAATCACCCGTACCCCAGGTAGACATTAGCAGGACATGGCTTGTCTTACCTGAAACCACATTTGGGCAGAGATGAGCCCCACCCTTCTATTTGTGGTTTGATAAAGACTGCCAGAAAGAAATGAAAACTAGGGTAATGTGCCAACCTGAAGGCAGAAGAGCCCTTTTCTGGAATGTTTTAAATGTCAAATTCATTGCCATCAAAGAACTCAAGTTTCTTTTTTTTTTCCCCCTTCAATCTTAGTGAGCAGCCTGGGGCTTGTATGTTGAAAACAATAGAGAGTATGGATTCAGGAGCATGGTTTTTCCCAGTGGGTCTTTGGTAAGAAAGATTATGGAAGAACAGATTCCAAAGGACATGACTCAGGAGGCTTTTTTTCTCTGGTTTGGAATCCAAGGGCAGCTGCCTTTACCACGGCTGCCTCCTTGGGCCCTTCTTCAGCTGGCACCCGAAAAGCCCTCGTCTCATATGATTTGGGGTCCGCAAAGAATTTAAATGCCAAGGACGATTTCCCCAGTAACTTTATAAGCCAGTTAAAACCATTGAGGAAAGGGGCGCCTGGGTGGCGCAGTCGGTTAAGCGTCCGACTTCAGCCAGGTCACGATCTCGCGGTCCGTGAGTTCGAGCCCCGCGTCAGGCTCTGGGCTGATGGCTCGGAGCCTGGAGCCTGTTTCCGATTCTGTGTCTCCCTCTCTCTCTGCCCCTCCCCCGTTCATGCTCTGTCTCTCTCTGTCCCAAAAATAAATAAACGTTGGAAAAAAAAATTAAAAAAAAAAAACCATTGAGGAGGCATTTGGAGGGGTGAAGCAACGGGAAGGAGGTGGGAGAGGGATACAGTCTCGTCACCCTGCTCCCAGTTTTGATTTTCTGTCCACGTTTCTTCTTTCCTGTAGCCATCCATCTAGTCCAGCATTGTATTTTCTCTCGGCCACAGCATGAGAGGGGCTTCCAAATTCTTCTCCTCACTCCCCACTGTAGCCTATTTTGTGTACCGTTTTCCCCTAGAATGTGGTGCTGACCCTGTTGCCCTCCTGTCCTTCAGTGGCAGCTGGGCATGAGACAGGTGTGGGGTGTCTTCTAGCCCATCTGCTGTGGTTCCTCCTGGCCACCCCCTTCCATCTCAGGGCCTCCTCTCCATTGAGACCATTCACTTGCAAATCCACCCTTTCCATCGAAGGCAGAGCTGGGTGCAGAATTGATTTTTAACCGTATCGGGGGATGAGGTACTCCCCTGCCTTGGGGCCTTTTTCAGGTGGTGGCATCACAAATTCTTATTCATGTTCTATGCCCTTCTTGGCCGCACTCCACTCATCTTCCCAGATTCCATCGATCGAAATGCATCACTTCCTGTACTCCTGTACTTCCTGTATTTCTGTACACTTCCGATGATTCTGAAGTGCTTTATTGCATCTTTATTATCCCCATATTGCAGATGTTACCGTGTTGTGCGTTAGAGTAACTCTGGATGTTTGTCTTTGCTCTCAGGTAGGTTCCGGAAGATGGGGATTACTGTTTTCTCTAGCACCTACTAGAGAGACTGGTATATAATAGCCGCGCAATAAATACCTGTTGAATAAATGACTAAACTTCTAGAGAATAGGACCGGTGTCTTTTTAACCTTCAGATCCGCCACGGCATCTGCACGTTAAAAATAGATCAATAAATGTCTTTCTGGATTATTCATTTAAATATAGAGTTCACGTCCTTTGCAGGAACAGCCTCTTAAAGGTGAAAGTCCGGTTATGTCATATTGCATTGTAGCTATGACCACATCAATTACCAGACCTTCAAATCATGTCACATACTCTCTCTGATTTGTGAAAGACAACATGCAAAAATTCTACAAAAGCATGTGTGTGTGCAGGACCATGCACATGCATGCACAAAATTTTGAAAATATATAATGAGTCATTTTTATGGGAAAAGAATTTCAATCAGTCCTAACTCTGAAAGCTGGAATATATGCTGCCATCTTCATAACGAGTTTTTCTAATGATCTAGAATTCTTCCCCTCTGTGACCAGGGACAGCATTTTATACATGCACATCTTAACCTCCAGGGATGCCAGAGACCAGATTTTAAAGTGTTCTCCCCATGCTAGGTTTTCAATACTTGCTGAGCAATCGAGTCATCCTGCAGGACAGTAAAGGAGCTGTTTCCACGTGAGCTTTTTGTTGGTCTGTTGGGTTATTTATATTTTACAAATGAGCATTCATTTCTGTCCGGGTGTGACCTCTTTTCCAGGGAAGTTCCCTTGAAGGACGCTAAGGAATATGCCGAATCCATAGGTGCCGTCGTGGTTGAAACAAGTGCAAAAAATGCTATTAATATCGAAGAGCTCTTTCAAGGAATCAGTAAGTACCTGAATTGCATTTTCAGCTTTGCCTGCATTTGTATGCTTCTGGGAGTCAAAGCATAAAATCACAGAGGGCTGCACTCAAGCTTTCCCTCGGTGTGAATTTGTCCTGATGCCGTGGACATAAAAGTCTCAGTCTGTACTCGTGAGTCTGGACCTATATGTGCCTCCCGATTCTGAATTTCTATAGCTCTGTGCTTTAACCTGTTGATTCTGTGTTTTGTGAATCAAGACGAAGTACAAAATAAGTGCAAAATAAGTACAAAATTAAAATAAGTCATTTTAATTAAAATAAGTGCAAAATAAGTACAAAATGCAAAATAAGTCATTTTAATTAAACGGTTGAGTATGGGGCACCTGGGTGGCTCCATCAGTTGCCGTCCAACTTAGGCTCAGGTCGTGATCTCGCGGTTCGTGGGTTCGAGCCCCACATCAGGCTCTCTTCTGTCAGTGCAGAGCCCCCTTCAGGTCTTCTGTCTCCCCGTCTCTCTGCCCCTCCCCGGCTGGTTCTCTCTTCTCTCTCTCTCTCTCTCTGTCTTAAAATAAATAAACCTAAAAAAGGTTGTGTATGTGATAGCATTTTATGTTCGTATGTTGAGGGGAAGAGAAATTAAGTAGCGATAAGGTATAGAAAACTAACGTCGTGCATTAAACGGAAGGACTCTAGCAAACAAAATAAACAAAACAAAAAACCCAAAATAAGTTAGTGATTTCTTTTGCCGGGGGGTCATCAACAAAAACTGAGTCTCCATCCCTCAAAACCAGAAATTGGGGACTGGGCAGACAGTCGATTTTGTAAAGGTTTCTCTCATTTCTGATCAGTTAGTGGAAGGTCCGCTCTCTTCTTTGTCTCCTGTTCAGGGTCACATTATAATTCTCTTCCTTTATGCTGGATCCCCATATGTAAGCTTTATTTCAGAGCTGTTTCCCAGCTGATGGCCAGATTTCCCCTTCACAGCTTCTTTGGTAAAGATGTCTGCGCTGGGTCCCCTCAGAGAGCTACCTGCTGACAGCTGTCTTGAGAAACTGTCCTGGGATGCCTCCAGAGCATAATTGGGGACTTTGCAGAAGCGTCCATGTTTACTGAGGTGCAGAGGCCCAGGGTCCCCGCCTCATGAAAAGTTGAACCCCTGAACAGTTGGCAGTTGTTCCCAAAGATCTTATCTGGCCCCAGACAATTCCAGAAGGGAATTCCAGAGGGGAAACTGACGGTTTGATCTCTCTTCTGCCTGAGGTCATAGTTGGCGGTGCTCTCAACATCCGAGGGGGCTTCATTTCCCAGAACAGATTTGATTTCCTTTTAACTGGTTTTGGTTCCTTACTTTAGGCTCTGAGAACCCACAGCAGGGATTATTGTGTTTGTTTCTCTTGGCTTGATGGGGAATTCACTGGAGATGGAGGACTCTGACCGGGGTTACTTACATGGTACGGAAATGCGCAAGAACGCACAGCTAAGGCCTGCACGGCCCAACCTCATGTGTTCATGGGGGTCCACGTCACCTTCCCTCCCGTCCTCCTTCAGAAGGATTCGTTCGCCCGCTGTTATTTCACCCTCTCAACAAAATAGCATCAATCCAAGTGCATTGACCTTAGTGGTTGAACTTGAGGGTGGTAGGCTGTAATTTTATGTTGGAAACCCTGGATCCCCAGACTCCTGCTCCGTCCTGAAAATGGGCCATAGATGGAATGCTCAGCTGTCCTCTGTAGCTGTGGAATGCTGGGCGGCCTCTTAAGAGAGTTTGGCTTGAACTCATTCCATTAACCTCATTTTCCCTCGGATCAAACTCATTCTTTTCTGGCAGTGTCTGGCTTTTCTGGTGTGTTAGGCAAGTGGTGCGACCATTCAGCACTTTGTTTGGGTTAAAGGTTTTGCTTAGTGATGCTAGAGAGCTCCTGATGACATTGACCCCTTCCCTTTGTGCAGCTCCTTATATGTTCTAGAGCCCTTCCCCCAGCTTTAGCCCTGAAGGCAGATGGTGCGGCCAGCAGTGCCCAGTGAAGGAAACACAGCGCTCTGCATACCTGAGAGTCAGCTTAAGGATTCTACATGAGCTGGGAGACTTCCTGAGGCTTACACAGATCATTATTAAAACGAAGAGCGAAATAACCGCAAGGAAGAAAATAAGCCTAAGCCGCAAGTGTTAACATCTCCACTTGAAAGATATTTTTTTGGGCGGTCCAGCCAGTATATACCTGTTCACCCCTAGGAGGACTTTATGGCTCAAGGTGATGGGGACTTTGAGTAAGGAATTCCCAAGATCTTGGTGGTCCGCTTCATTTAAGAAAAAGCAAGTGTTTTGCTTAAAGCAGTGGGTAATGATGGCTTCAAATAATTAATTCCTGTATAAGCCGTAGAACAGCTGTATCACTTCGTCTTCCAGGTCAAAGAAACAAGTTCTTGCTTCTGTTTCGTTGTACTTTGGTTAACAATGCCTTACAGAGCACCTGGGTTCCTCAGTTAAGCCTTTGACTCTTGATTGGGTTGTGATCCCAGGGTCGTGAGATCAAGCCCTGCGTTGGGCTCTACGAGGGCTGCGGAACCTGTTTGAGATTCTTTCTCTCTCTCTCTTACTCTCTCTCTCCCCCCTTTGCCTCTCCCCTGCTCGCCCGCTCTCTCAAAAAAGAAAAAAAAAATTGCCTTAGCAAAGAAGCTTCTAGATACTCGGCCCACAGCAAGACCTTGTAGGTAGGTGCTGTAAGCGCTGGGGCGTCTTCACTCCTTCGGGTGAATTTCTTCACAACAGGGTGTTGTAGCCTAATTACAGGTCGACTTGAAATGCAGTACCAAGTACAACTAAATACACTGCGGCCGACTTTGCATTTATGTTTTCTCTCCTGCTCCTACTTGTGTTACATGTGATCCTCCTGTGCTCAAAATAGAATGGGGTATTGCTGACTTGTATGCTCCTCAAAGCAGTGTTCCAGAGACAAACGTGCCTGGGAGAAAGGATACCGTAAAAGTGGTGAGAGTAAAAGCCCTTTAAGAAGGTGTGTTTAAGCAAAATTAATTCATATCGACTTGGGCGAAGAGACCAACATTCCTCTTCTGTGTTCCCAGGGTGTTCATAAAGCAGAAAGGAGACCACTGTGTTTTCTGAGCAGGAGTTAATGTATTTACTAACAGGAAATTGTTTCACGAAATATTATCTGTTTTCAAAGGCTAAAGCTACCCTATAAAGGACCCTGTAAAGGTGCTGTCCTGTTTTATTTGGGGGGAGGGGCGGGATTGGCACACGGTCTGTCCCCACACTGTGCTCTGACTGGCATTCCTCCAGGGACCCTCTCCTCGATGACATTTTTGGATCTCCTTTGCCCCACTGCATATGGCTCATTCCCTTCCATGCATTTCTCCCCAGAGCTGTTTCTGTTCCTTTCTTGAGGTCTCATGCCTTTAATTTGAACATCAGTTTTCCTCTTTGAGTTAAGACCTAATTCTTCTTGGCGGAGAAAATTGTGGCACCTTTGAGTGTTCCGGTTGGTGTGTGAAAGCACAAAGAATATTCTTGTTGCCGTTTACTCATTACAGTGTTACAAATGAAAACCCAACTCTTCTGGCCAACTACTCTCTGCCTGACTCTGTAATCCTGAAAGGCAGAGTCCGGAGCTCCGGGCCTTGCCTTGATCCCCTCTTCCATCCACTAGCTGTCTCCGGCCATCAATGTGATGCTTCTCTTCTCCTTCCTGCAAACCTTAATTCCTCGAAGGTCCAGTTCATGTCTTTTTCCTTCACAAAGTCTTCACCTGCCCCAACTCTCGTGGGTGGCTCCCGAGGTTACCTCCGGTTTCCCCCGTCGTTCTGACACTTGAACACTTTTAAGTGGTTAAATTCAGTGAGCGCATTAAAAGAACATGGTGTGCACCTCGTGCAAGTTCTCCGCGAGCAGGTCTTGCTCTGTTGTGTTCCCCGTGAAGCTAAGACGCGTAGACAGGAGAGTGCCAAATTTGGTTTTTTGAATTTGGATCTTCCTCCCTGTCTCATGATGTTCCCGGAGGTAGTAATTCAGCATGGTCACCAGATCAAGTGAAACACAGTCAGTCTTCTACGGGGACTTAAGGTTGGATGACACCGGCTGGTTGGAGAGGCCGAGCTATGTCTTCATTCACTTATTCGACAAATAGATCTTGGGTTCTTCTGTGGGTCAGGTGCCTTGCCAGATACCAGGGACACCACAGTCAACAAAACAAACTGGCCGTCAAGTAGGGAGACAGCCTGTCGGCAGAGAGCCAAATGCGTATATGACGACACGTTGTAATAAATGCTTTGAAGCAAAAGAACAAGGATTGCAGGAATAGTGGCAGGTGGGGACTTGAGTTCGGTGGGGGAGATCTTCCCAGGGAAATGATTTGAAGCTGGACCTGGAAAATGGGGAGAGTCCACTTGGGCAAAGAGCTCAGGAGGAGCCTCAAGTCGAGTGAGCACCGTGAGCTGAGTTCCTGAGGCCGGAAGCGGTGGGCTGCATTTAGCAGAAAGGAGGCCACAGGACGGCAGGTGGCGAGCTCCGGCACCCCCGGGTGGGGAGCGTGGAGACGGAGCCAGGTCCTTGCTCGGGCGTTGCATTGGGAAGAAGGAGGTGATATTCTGGAAGGCTCGCGAGGATTTTAAGGGGGGTGTGGCATACCCAGTACACGCTGAACGATCACCCTTGGGGAGTGGACAGGGGGAGGAAGATTGGAAATGGCTCCCCGATTAGGGTGCCGCTGCGGTCACGCCAGAGAGAGGAGGCTGGGACCCAGAGGGGTGTGGACGTGAATTTCAAAAATCTTTCAGAAGTGGAGCCAGTAACACGGGGAACAGGCCAGGCTGGGGGGCCGAGGGAGAGAGCCGTGTGCTCCGTGCTCCCTGGGTCCCCGATCCTGGAATGAGGATGGCCAGCCAATGAGCAGGTTCTCTTGGGGCTGCATCTGTTGCGAGCTTGGCCGACTGGATTCTGGAGTGTGAGAAACACAAGTTTTGGTTTGTGGATTTTAATCATTTCAACTCCAATACCATTTTGTTGT